TACGAAGTGCTTACATTGATCCTCATACCTCACTGCCGTAAAAACAGTGTGTTCAAGAGCAACAAATTATAGTTCTAGATTAATTGAATGTGTTAATGTTCTTTAAGATTTAACATTATGGGTTCATGATAGATTTAATTGTGGCAGTAGCACTCTTAAAAGTTCTTTAGTCTGTGAAATGTGCTTCACTTTGTATAGATTCATTGCACTAAACAAAAAATATGTGTCAACATCTATCACTGTGGCAGCAGTTGGTAATGGCGTATGTTCTTCGTTCCCTATGGGAGCCGCGCAGGAGGCTTGCTCTCTAACAACAACGCAAAGGCAATAACACTGAACTTATGGAGCTTCAATTGCTGGCAAACGACTCCTTTTACCACGCAATGAGATCTCTGCCAAAGATTACTACACGATAGAGCTTTATACTGAATTCGTATCTATTACTTCTTTTAATTCTAAAGTACATTACTTCTGTAAGATTATTTACGAAATTTAATAAATGATTACATTACTTTTGCGTTGAAACCTACGTGTGTTATGGTGCTTCATTGTAATGAAGTTTCGAAGTAAAATCCGATGCGATTACTTTTCAAGGCTTCAACGTACTGCTGTTGAATATTTCATTAGTAGTCTGAAAGTGAGGAAACTTCAATCAATTTTTAAACCGACACCCATTGTAAATTTTGAGTAAATCAAAATCTAAGTTCCATAAAATGTTGCAATTTTTCATTCTCTAGCGCAGACTAAGAAAATTATCCTAGTTTTCCATTTCTTTGAAAAAAAAGTAGGATTCCTTCAAAGCTACAAAGACAGGATTTTTCGTCTCCAGCTCAAATTTTCGGTTAGAATGAAAATGAAACACGAGGCTTTCCCTCGGAACATTCGAAGCCTTGGCCTTTCATCAAGGAGAAATTACCCTGTCATTTGCCAGCAGTCAATCTCAGAGCAATTTCAGGATTAAAAGACGCGATGAACGCTAATTCCTAGGCGTTACGGCCAGTGACACATAAGAAGAAGAAGCTTAGAGTCCCAACTTTATGCCTCGAGATATGCTCCCTATTTTTCAGTGTAGGCTCACTGAACCACTTCAGCAACGCTAAGAAGCCTCCTGACGATACGATCAATATTCATACACAACATCCTTGATAGTGAAAAGCAAATTCCTTTATAAACTGATTTTCTGCGTTGTAATTTCATTTTTTTTTCTTTGAAGTATAACTCGCTGCAAATTATGTTTTGTTGAAGCTGAAAGTTCAAACAGGTTACTTTTATGGATACAGCCTTCAACTCTCTTTCTCACTTAAGACGAAGTAGAATCGGCTTTACACCAGAAAATAAACTTAACCATTCCACCTCATAAGCTCACTGATAAATAAATTAATCCATATGAAACACTCGCTCATTTTTACTTATTCCTAATGGAGAAAGAAATTTTTGTCTTATAACCAAAACTTGTTTAACACTATGTAGCCAGTCAAATATGCTACATTTACGTTAATCCGATTTTCCAACTGCCTATAGCATTCGAAGAGGGAAAAACGATTTAGCAATGTTTTGACGGGAGTATATTCTCATTATATGCACATATCACTAGTTAAACCATAAAAAAGTCAATGTTTGAAACAAATCGGTATTACATAGAAGCTGAATAATGCGTAGAGACACAATTTACAGGAACAGTGCACATTTTTTTCCACGAACCTGCAATATAGGAATGTTCAGGCTGGAGTTTCGATCGTCTAATATGACATCCAACTTTCCAAGAACTAATTTCTTGCACTTCTAATCTTTAGTCATGTTCGGAGAAGTTTGGCGGCCAACAGAAGCAAACGCACAGTGTTTTAGTGTTTCTAAAAGATGGACCGCTACAACTATATTATAATTCCAACGAACTAATAAACATCGAGATATTTTTTATCAACAACCAAGAGCTTATCGAGCACCAGACATTATTTCTCCGCCAATTCAATTCCATCGACATGTATTAGATCGCACGGAAGTGCCAGGGACGAATACTGTTATAGTTTGGGTACGCAAGCCTCATGGACGGCAGGCCAATCGGAACTTTTCTCGTCTAGCACAGCGGGGAAGAGGTAATCTTCACTGATAGATACTAAGAAGCAGGGGCGAGGACAGCCAACGTCGCGTCATCAACATATACGCGTGCCAGGAACTATTTTCGGGCACCTGACATGCATGACCTGCATAGTAACCTGATATTTTTTAGCGTATTTTCTCATTTATGGAAAAAAGGCACTGTTGTGCTCGCCATGTCCGTCCGTCCGGCCCGTCCGTCTGTCTGTCTGTTTGTCCGTGACTTCACGTTTTCGTCGACGATAAAATGCTCTCTCTGTCACTCACTGCAGTGAGTACTGAGTTATATTTTTTTAATCTTAAATATAGCATTCATACCTTGCAAAGAAAATTAAGTAAGCATGTGGGTATTGAATTTATGCGCATACTAAAAGAAAGCAGTATTTTCTGAAAGATCTTTATCGACACCGTCACTTTTGCAGCATGCATTCTTACATGCATTATTTGAAGGAAGTATTAATGATTATTGCACATTATTCCTGATGCGTCGTGGATTCCCTGCTCTGGGAGCGAATTCATCATTAATTTTGAATCCAGAGTCAAATATCCTGAGACAAGTTTTTCATCTTTCAAGGCTAGACATTGACAGACGAGTTGCATTGAAACTGTGACAATGCGATTGACACGCGCAGCAGAGCGCCTCATAAAGTTTGTGTTATAAATCTTTATTCAGTTTACCTGTCATGTTATTGTCCTTAAGTTTTCAGTCTGCCAAGCATACCATTCTGCTTTTTATTTAAATTAATTTTGTGCTCTTTGACCCCACAAGTTGATGTCCATTATACAATTTGTGTGAAAGTAAATTCCATTAAATTTTTAATGGTTGTGTTGTTAAAATCGATAAACTGATTTCAATTTACGACCCAGCCTTATTATTATAAATGTTCAAGAGCGTCATTAGCTGTTAAATCAGACGCGGAGAGTTAATCTGGTATTCAATCTGCTTACAGAATTAAGTTGGTATTCAAATTTTGAGAATCTATAATATAACTTATCCTTTAATTTTTAATAAAGTTATTTTTAAAAGGATTGCTCTGTTTATGTTGTTCCAGTTAGAGGGGAGGAAAGCAAGGGCAATAAAGTCCAATCTAAGCTCAAATTTATTTTATAAAAAATATTTTCTAACGCACATCCAAGAGCCGTCCAGAAACACTCATTATGCGATAATTGACACAAATACCTGACGACATCGTCGTGTTATGGCCTGGCAAAGCCCGTTACCATAACAATAAAAATTATGGGCCTCAGGCCATGATTAATTAAGGAACAGCCTGGCGCTGGATCAGCACTTGACGAACGTAGATACTACGATCCGTGGATGATGTAACAGATGCAAACATGTAAAATTAAACGAAATCGGAACAATTACAATTGTCCGAAAGAGAGGAGCTTGAATGGCGTTTGAAGTATAGAAATGAATTTACATGAAGTGTCTATGTTACGTTTCAATAATATTGAATCAAGTATTAAAACGAAGTACATTGTCTACACAAAATTCCTAAAAAACTTAAGAATTCGTAAGTTTCTTCTTAAGAAAATTCTTAAAATCAAAAGATATCTTGGCTTTGAATATGTGTTGACAGGTTGGCTTTGAGTTCTGAAAATTTTGCAAATAGAAAAATTGTAGTTTTTTTCTTTATGCAACAAATTTTCACCAATGTTTTACTTGGATGATATTTCACATGCGCATTCAGGAAATCCGTGCGTCGTTCTAATTTGCAACGGGAAGAACAACGAGAGCATAGTAGTATAAAGTGCCTTTTTCAAATGCTAAGAGTTTTAAATGACATATAATACCAGTCATTAGGAAGTGTTCCGACTGAGCGATGAGCACACAAATCTTCATCAAAATAAATAATTGTGATGTAGGGAACACAAATGATATGTACTTTCAAGAGAAGACTCGAGCTGCCAAATGAATTATCACATTGCATGACTGTTCGCCAATTGCAGGCATGAGAATACGTTTTGAATTTAGTTCTTTTTAATACCATTTGTCAAGCGCGCATGTAGCGGAAAACTGAGTAAACCTTCAATTTGAAATGACATTAGAATCGACCAAGATTACCGGATACCAAGTTAGCGGCGCACTTTTCATCATAGAAGCAATTTGCGTGATGTTACCAAATTAAATCAAAATTACCCATTACTATATTGTTGATATGTATCGACGAACTAGATATGAATTTCTGATATGTTGTTAAATCTTTGCTACTTAATGTATTAATTACTTAGACGAAACAGCTAGGCACAGACGATTATTCGACCACATTTTCACGTCCTAATTAGCCTGATACGCGAATCAAAATGTTTAATAATCATAATGCAACTTGATCATGCAATAGTTTTAATTTTATACGCCATTTTCTGGGTGAATGCAAATATTTTTGGAGACGAAGTTCCAAATAATTTATTCAATATTTATGAGCCGCGTCACTATATTTAAGATTTGAATACTCTGATATGAGACTAATTAAACAGGTGAACGCGTCAGTTTAAAGTTTAATTTTGAAACGACGTATTGGAGTTTCAAATTACATTATGTTACCGGAAATTTCTGTTTCAGAGAGAATACTAGTCAAGTTAGTTTTCATTGCTGAAAATATATATGATCAATAATGCAGAATAGTTTTAAATTGAATGGGTAAATGATCGGTACCTTGTTAAGCTGTTTATGCAGATTCGGGGTAATTGTTCGTAATAATATTGAAGGTAATTGGTAATTTTGTTGGATAAGATTTGGGGTAAATGATTGGTAACCTATGATTTAAGCTGTTTATGGAAAATGGCGCCATGCGCTCGGTTATGTAACTACTAACATTATTCACTACCATTCAGCATCGATATTATTTATGTCTCATTTCAAAAAAAAAGCATTCCCTGTAAAGGATACCTAATATTCTAGGTGAGCAGTATCTTTTAACACTTGCCCTTCTATCTCTAACACGAGCTCTCTGGACTAGAACTCCGAAGTAACCTGACTGTCGTCTGTCTTCTGGGATCAGCTTCAGCAACTGAAATACTGAGTTCTGCTTCTCTGTCTCTAGAACCACGCAGCAAACTGCCTCCTATACCGCCGATGCTGGAGCTCGGAGTCCCCATGGAGTCAACGAGCAAGCCACTGTCTTCCAAGTTTAGCATTGCGCTTCTGGTAGACGTGGCTGGGGAGGCAACCGAGGCTGTGAGTCGAGTGCGGTCGTTTACGTCAGGGGAAGATGACGCGTACAGTGATATCGGGTCGTCACCGTACCGTGCATAGTTCCTTATCTGAGACAAGTTTGGATAAATTTTTCTTGTTAGTAAGCAATTGTTAATGGTTTTAAATATATTATTCCCTTTTGCAGGAGTCCGTTAATCTCGCGCTTAGTGGCTTATTTCATAAATAGTATCGCAAATCATTCTAGTCAGTTCTCTGGGTTTATGCATGAATTGAAAATTTTAAGTCCGACATTTTATACCCATCTATATATAAACGCATATTTTTTCAGATCTATGCACTTTCATCACGCTAAAAAGTGATACTTATAATTTTCAGAAATGTGGTGTATATTTATAAGCAAGAAATTCAACCCATCCCATTTCTGGACCGCTGCCTCCTATCAGTGTCGCGTGAATGGATAAAAATAGATCCTGATAAGCTACTCACCGCGGCTGGATAATCCACCATTACTGATTGCTGCTGTGGAGCACTGAATCTGTTCTGGACTCCACTTCCTTTAGTTTCTCGACCTCGAGAGCTTCTGGCAGGAGCCATGCTCATGAGACGGGTTGCAGACCCAGAAATGCCATCATTTTCTTCTGGTACTTTTTCAAGCTCCAGTGAAGTGTCGTCTATAAGACTCGTGCTGCTCTTCAAAGGGACTCCACAAGTAGTGTCTTCGCCGTCACTGTCATCAGTGTTGTCCATGCCTGCAGAGAGAGCAATGCTTTGCTGAATGTAAGTAATAATGTCTTTCGTTTGCTTGAATCGCAAATTCACTAAAAACTTATAAGCAAAGAAAACTCCACATAAATTCATACCAACTTTAATTAAAAAAACTGATTTATCTGTGTTTCAGAATTTTCAAACTGACGATGGAGCTGGACTCAGAAACGTTCTCTTTAAAGATAGTATAAATTTATATGGAGATTTCTTTGCTTTTAAGTTTTTAGTGAATTTGCTGAATAACTTTCAAATAAACCTTATATTTCTCTGTCTCTAAAATAATAATTTGCTCACGGCTTAGAAAAGGCATTCTGAGACGACTTACATTGATTAATAGGATTTTAACTAAGGTTTTACTTTTAATATGATTGAGATGAATTAAATTGAGTAACGACAATTCTCGCATCCTAGACAAATTTTTATCTAGGATAAAATTTATCTCACACAAATTTATCTCATATCCTAGATAAATTTTACCGAAATAAAAATATTCGGATTTATTCAATTCAATTAGGAACTAAATGCAACCAGAAGAAATAGTGACTTTAGTAAGACAAATTCATAATACAATGATATTAAGAAATGGGTTAATTTACATCAAAACTGATTCGATCAATTTCTTTTAGGCAGTTGGCATGCACTTAATTAATGCTGACCATACTAAAAAGAATTGTTTAAGAAATAAAATATTTTGTGAACATAATTTAGATAACTAAATTCTGGCAAGAAAATGATCACATTGAACGAATTAATATTACAAATTATTTCGCATCATTTCCAAGAGCCCTGAAATAACTGTTGAAGATTTACACCTCACCCTCCTGCATATCCAAGCTATAACAATTCACAAGGGAGTTATGCCAGCGATCAGGCGTGTCGTTAAATGGCTGCAACCTTGAATAACCGTTTGCCTGGCCCCTGAGTATCGCTAATTAAATTCAATGGGACGAAAAAGGCCATAGGGTAAAAAATTGAACAAATGCCTGGAATTAGGGTCATATTTAATGATTATCGCATGAAACCTGGACGTTGACTGATGCTGTAGCACTACTTACTGCATAGTTTAAGACTGAAATTCATGAATAATATTTATGCTAAAAAGTTTACGTTCAACCTTTTACAATAGTCGATTTGTTTTAACCGAGACATTGTGCAAAGAATACTCGTTGGAAAAAATGCTCAAAACTCGTGTTGTATTCAAAACATATTTTAATGGAATTTAATGGATCTGTCAATTAATAAAAGTTAAAATACAAAAGTTAAGAATTTAAATGACTAGAATAATAAAAATATCCATGTTGTACGAGTTTTTTATCATGAAACAATAATAAAAGCCTTTAATTACTCACGTAACAAATCTGGGTTCTTCTCTTTCTTGACGATATGTGTAACAGTCTTGGTGGATTGATGAGATCTCCTGTCCCTTGACCTCATCCACCACACAGCCATCAGCAACACCGCCACCACCAGCAACACTCCACCCATCACACCCATCACCAGAACCATGGGGGAAGGTTCCACTCTTGATGGAAGGCCTATACAAATTTGGCACGAGAAAAGAATTAAACGTTATGTTCAGAATCTTATTATTTGAAGGCTAAAATGTTTATTTCAAATCTCTAGCCTAAATGATGGCCAGTATTAAAATCTTATATCATGACAATGAATATAATGCCTTATCATTCTATGTATTTTTATGGATCATAACAAAGATCCACGAATTCCATTTATGCAATTGAGTTTTCTACTATAAATATAAGTACGACTTACCGTACATTCGACGAGAATGATATAATATTGCAGTGTTTATATACCATCAAATGAATCCATGACTGTACGCGTGATTAATGCTTCGTTTTGAATTATGTATTGAAAAGTATAATTTCAAGACCCATATGCAGCTTCTGCATCAAAGATCCAGAAGAAAGATTCTGTATCAAGATTCTGATTTCAAGAAGAGAAGCTTCTGTATCAAAGATTCTGTATCAAATCTGTAACGCGAAGGCTCAGTTGAACCTCGCGAGTTGAAGGCCAAAGCCTCCGCTCGATACGTCAAGCCAGGCTCCAGAGGGTGAGCCGTGAACGAAGGTTTGCTGCTTGTAGCGTTGAAAACTAAATTGCCGGTTTCTACGTCCCACACCTACAGTAGATCAGGGTGAACTAATTTATTTTTTTATATTGACGTTGAGAGGTAATTATGGTGATCTATATTATAATAATTTAACAGGGCATGGTGAGAATCAACTTTTACTACTTACATGAAGTTTAAGACACTGAATGATAATAATAAAAAAATATTTTCTGCATTCTTTTATTTATGTAACAAGTATTTCATACTCAAGCTTGCAATTTTTATGTGTATTCGAAATTTAAATTGAAATCTAGACTACTCGAATGCACGTGTCATCGATCGAAAATCGTCAATAAAAAGCTTTCCATTTGATCAAAGTAAATTCTATTTTAAACTTGGTTTTACATTATAAGTAACATAATTTGTGTTACGAGAACAAAATCAAAGTAAATTCTATTTTAAACTTGGTTTTACATTATAAGTAACATGATTCGTATAACGAGAACAATTGTACCTTCACGAATTGCAATTTGTCATTCAGAAAAGAAAATTTCTCTCGCACAGTAATAAATTTGAGATTTCTATGAACTATCATCTATAAAAATACATTTAAGAATTCTCTTTTCTAACATAAATTTCCACCGTTTCTCGTTTTGATTGACTCGAGTTTCTGAGGCCTCCATTGAATCTTGCCGCTAAGTTCAGCAGGATTATTTGCTCGGTCTCGCAAGTTACCTGAAGTAGGAACTTCTGGGGCAGCCCTCCGTCAAAGGCCGCTTGGCAGGATACCCCGCCCGAGTGTGACGTGATGTTACCCACCACGCAGTCCGTTAATTCCTCCGGTGGGCCTGCAAAACGTGAGCCGCATAACGAAAACCTAGGCGCAACGAATTTAATGGAGTCGAACGACGATGAGGATTTATTAGTAGAACCGTTCGTATTTCTTTTGGGTTTGGTTAAGTGGAAGTAGAACCGTTCGTATTTCTTTTAGGCTTGGTTAGGTGGAATCTGCCATCGATATTTCGTGTTTTGAGTTAAGATGAATTGTAATGGACGTATTAGGTGATGTATCGTAGACTTCGAACGTTCATAACTCTTCTATGCCTACCGAAACATGAAACTTATATGCTATTAATGCATTAAAATTAGAGGAACTAATGAACCTAAGAGAGAGAGAAAAAGAAAAGAGAGAGAAAGAGAGAGAGAAGTGAGAATTAAGACTGTTTGAACTGACTGCTTGATGATCCGACCAATTCATAACGAGTTTGTTGGGTGAGGTATAGTTTAATTGATGAATTATCCCTTGCGAGTGAGGACAAAATTAAATTATCTTTGTCGCATGCAGGATTTATATTGCAACATTTTTTTCACTAAATAATCACCATGGCGTTGCATCCACGTGAATAACACTTTCATTTTTCAAAATTCAAATCTTAATTCTAGCGCATTCTGTGCAATTGCAAAACAGGCATCATTAGTCATTGAGAAAATGACGCGAGAAAATAATATGGAAAATAATTATATATCATGAAAGTCACAGTAACAAATACCTTGGCAATGCAAAGGAAAACAAATTAAGTCATTTATCACAAGAAACTCGTTATTTTGAGAGCTCACCTGCAGAAATGACCGTAAACGAGCAAGGATTTTCTTGTGCACCGACCGCGTTGGACGCGAAGCACAGCAATGTACCGTAGTCCCGTTCAGACAAAGGAGTGTAGGACAGTACAGACTCTAGACCGTTTGTAGTAAATCTGAGCAGGAATAATGTAGTGCGTAATAGAACATTTATTTGATTATTGAATAGATAATTGTAAGGGAGATTTAATTATACGTTTTCGGCGGTATTGTTTTCCTAGTTTTCACTGCCCAAATAGCGGTATAATTCATTGATTGAGATTTCCAGGCAAAGTCTTTGAAAATAATATGATGACTTTCAAATTATTTTGCCCATGCAATGGCTTGTTTCAATCTGTATTTATCGCCGTATTTATCATATTTATCGTTCCTCCTAACTTATAAATTTGAATTTATATTCAGTGAGTTGTTTCCACTTACTTTCTCTCGGAAACAGATTCGCTGGCGTCTTTCCTGGCGGAGTTATTGAAAGTCCAGCGGAAAGTTACGTTAGAGGGGTCAGCGTCGACAGCGCATCTTATGGTCGTAGGCTCGTACAGCCCCACGCCCCTCAGCGACGGGGGAACGGAGCAGCGTGGGGCATCTGAGGGAAACAGTGAAGAGGATTTTTAATATTAGTTCAACTCAATATTAAATTAATAAATAATACTTATATTCGTGAAAGCTTCTTGAGGTGATCTCCGATAAACTTAACAATTTGATGGCAGCATATGAAAGACACTTCTCCTAAACATGAAACTATTGTGATTGTTGGTTGATTTGGAGCTATTTTGTCGAACGAGATAGTGTTTTGCGCATAATAATTGCTCTTATCATTAAGAAATTGACAGAATTTTCCGTACAAGACTAATGACTAATTTCATTGCGAACGACAATGCGACGATCAGTGATCCTTGAAACCAGTCGAAATGTTTCAGGCTACTCTAAAGTGACAACATATTTTTGCAATCACCTTTCTCAGGAGAATGTGGTGCGAAGGCAGTATTTCTCACTTAAATGTTTTGAACGTAACATCAACAAAAATATTTTTTACACTATCGCGTGAGAATTTGGCTCATCGAACTCACATTTGATGGAAATGTTGACCGGGTTGCTGAGAGCGTCGCCCTCAACGTTTGAAGCCTTGCACTGGTATGCTCCTGATTGCTTTCTGTTGACCCTCTGCAGAGCGAGGGTCGATTCGCTCACCAAGATTCCTTCACGGACGTTGTGTTCCAATTCCAAACCCTAAATACGGGATTTGTAGGTCATCTCATGCAATGCATTGGCCTAACTCAAGCCGTAGGCAGAGAACAGCTTTACTGGAATTGAGGTAACTGTCAGGCATAAACATATGAGTGGTTGAATAATTGAAAACATTCCTTGTAAACTACGAGAAAAGCGGAGAGTTATATGAATATTATGGTTGTACGTATTAAATGGTTGAACTTTTTATTCCCGCAGAAGTCTAGCATAATAACTTATGAACGCACTCATGAGTATTGAATTCCTAGTTTTCTAACAAAACTTTTTATATGCACAATGTACCTTTCGAAGGCATATGAGAGGTGAAAATTCCTGAAATTTTATGAAAGAGAATGAAGTTATAATAGCTGTGTTTTTACATTAGGCTTTTTTCATTGAATAAAATAATAATTAGAAATGAAAACAAACAATAAATTCACGCGTTGTTGATTATTTTTAAAACTCAGAGAACTCCTTTCCATGAACCATTACACTCTTTTACTGCTATTTAGAGAGCATATTTTATTTCTAAATAAACTACGAGTGTACCATGTGCAGACACGTGACTTTGTACGGCGGGGGATTAGCTTTTACTGCAATTTAGAGAGTATAATTCATTTCTATTTAAAGTAAGAGTGTACCATGTGCAGCCACGTGACTTTGTACGGCGGGGGATTAGCGTCAACTCGGCACTCGAAGAAAGCATCGTTGCCTTCCTTCAGCTCGGGCGACTTGAGGGACCAGCCCAGCGACAGCGATACGTTCGGCTTGTCTGCCGAAGACAGATAGCGATTCAGATAATAAATCTCACTAGAAAAGCACTAGATGGCCAAAAAAGTAATAGATAAATATGGTAACAAATAATAAATTGGCCGAAAATAATAAAAATAATAAAAATTTCAAGTATAAATATCTTAATACGGTGGTTGATATTTGTTAGCAGGTACCGAAAAAGTGATAAAGTTAGTTGATGGAACTTGGTTTAAAATATATTTTCTAAGCAAAGGCTATAGACTGTTTTGAAGAAAGAATGTATAATTTGAATAATTAAATAATTTGAAACAAGGTGAAGATGTATCAATACATACACGCGACATCTAGAGTATAAATATCTTCCAGCGTAGCAGCTGGAAGTAGAGGATTTTCGGCTCGGCATGTGAGCTTCGTGCCATGATCTGCCTCTACGATGTCCAGCACCAGAACAGAAGTCGATATGTTGCCGGAATGGCGGATCTGCGATTAAAAAAACACATTTCATCAGCTACAGCTTATACTTTCAGAAGTGGCATTCCCAAATTAGAATTGCAGGCAAGAAGACAAATAACAAAATTATTAATACTAAAAAATAATCCATGCATTATCGATAATAGAAGTCGATATGTTTTCGGAATGGCGTATCTGCCAAAAAAAAAACACATTTTATCAGTTATCGCTGATACTTGCAGAAGTGGTATTAACAAATTAGAACTGCTGGCAAGAAAACAAATAAAAAAATTATTACTAATTAAATGTAATCGATGCATTACTGGGGACATACTTTTACGGATCATAAATTTAATTTACGAAAAGTCATGGGTTTGCAGCTACTCATGCGCAGTATCCCAACCCACCATGGAAGACTCGAGGGGAAGCTGCTTGGCGTTTCTGAACCATTTTATTGAGGGGGGCGGGTTAGAACCCCTGACCTCACACATGAAGCGAGCATCGCGTCCTGCCACCAAGGGCTCCACCTCCAGCAGGATGTTCACGCTCAGCGGTCCCGCTGCAAGAAACATTTTAGGACTAACGAACTATAATTCAGGGTTAATATATGTCTTAATAAATTTTGGAAGCTTCAATGGGTGGGAAAATTTGAAATAGGTCTAATTAATAAAATTGAATGAGAGAAAATGTGTCAGAATTAGTATGGGAACTTACATTGCAGGGGAAAAGCGGTTATCTGTCTTATGAAGTTAAATTTGTTGTTTTGGTTCATTATGAATGTGAGATGTACCAGTAAATGTATTGAGCGAGTAAGAAAAAATAATTGGCAAACAATGTTATTTCCTTGACTCAGAATCTGGTCACTCAGCTTGCGTTATGTTTGTCTGACAGAACACGAAATGAGCGCAATTATAGTAGATTGGATTACAATTGTGGTGAGAGATTTTAGCGTTGAATGTATTATTCAAATTGAAATCGAAATGAATTACGTTCATTTACCATTTTCTGCAGTTCACTTATTTTAAAATCCCAAAGTTCAATCTGATTTACATTCTAATTTTACTGCTTGCTTACTTTTTTCTTTCGAGGTAATTACATAATTCACTGTTGCGGTGAAAAGATATATAGCGTCAACTTCATTGACCTATATAAATTCATCATGCAATCATTTTACCACATAAGTTTCCAAACATATTGAGACGATCAAAATGTGAACAATAGCGAGATTAACGACAGTAACGTTCACTGACAAAAAGAAAATTTCTGTCCACTGACGCTAGACGATTAAAAATATAACTCAGTAGGCCTACTCACTGCATATGCAGTGAGTGACAGAGAGCGCATTTTCTCGTCGACGAAAACGTGAAGTCACGGACGGACAGACAGACGAACGTACAGACGGACGGACAGACGGACATGGCGAGCACAATAGCGCATTTTTTCCATAAATGAGAAAATGCGATAGAAATTACCTGTGACGTTCCTAGTGTAAAATTTAATGAGAGGCGGAGTGACGTCATTATTGGAGACGCGGCATGTGTAGGGAGCTGACATATCGAGACGAGACGCCGGTGTCTCAAGGCTGTTGTACGACACTCCGTTCCTGACGCTGAAGTTTACGTCGACAACGTTTCCTTCTTGGACCCATACCACTCGCGGCGCAGGCGAGCCTAGAAATTAGTAATTGTTTCGTGTTTCACAACGTTTCAGGGATGATTAAGTACAAATTTGCGGACGAGTCTTAACAAGTGCAATAAAATTTTCCACGATTATCTGAGCCTATGTGAAACTAACCCGTTCTTTTCTATTTAAAAATCAGCTTAAATTATGTCATGATTCCCCTTTAGAATTTTCGTGCAATATGGGGAAAAATACCACAAAATATCATGATATGATACAATTTTTTAACTATAGCGTAATTATCTACAAAGTAGAACTACCATTATAATAAAAGGTATATTTTACGTAAATTCATCCTATTCATCCTCATTTTCCTCATCTATACTCATCACTAGAGGAATTTTTGCGGCCCTTTAGCCGTATTGTTGCAGCGTTTGCGGCAGAAGTGATCCCAATTCTAGAGCAGCATGCACGCTTAATATTTGTATCTCTTTGGAGCCATAAAGTGGTCGAGACAATAGGCTCTAACCTCCCGCTCCAGAGCAGACGACGTCGTTGTTCTGGCCTTCATCGACGGTCTCTTTTGTAACTCGCAGGTGAATGCTGCGCGGTGGAACTGCAGCACAAAACACAATGCTTTTAATCAACTGAACTTTTCTTCCAACCATTTGTGAATATAAAAAAAATTCGAGTGTATAGTGCCTTTGTTCTAACGGCTTGGATGTTGCATAGCATATAGTTTGGTTGATAAATGCTGCGAGAAAAAGTGTGTTGAATTTAAACAGTAACTTTCTATGCCAGCACCCAAATTAAGGTAAAGAATTCGATTATTATTTTCAGAATGAATGTTCATAGCTTTGTATGGATAAGATATTTTTATTTTCATTGACCACAATTATGAAAATTACAATTTGTCCCTGTAATGTTTAATTGGTCTTGCTTGTAACGAAAATGATGTTCACTAGCGCTGTTTCTAGCCCAAATTATTTCAAGGCAACGTCATTTATTTTTTATTTCGTTTCGACTATTATTCATGTCGAAACGAAATGAAAAATGATTCTATTTATATAACAAAACTGCCTCGAGAATTTAACCTTAATTGAATAAAATAAAAGGGTATTTACAGCCTAAAAGTCTCCTAGCATTCATTCCCTATTTATTTCGTTTCCAGGCAACAAATATTGAGATTTAGATTGAAATGCAGGAACAAATCTCCATTCATAACTTCCGGCAAAAATAAGTGATTGCTGCAGAACATTCGGCAAATCTGAGTCTGTTTTGAGGCACCGGTGCGCGCGACAAACTTCTGATTAGAGTCGCCCCACTGCTTTACTTTCGCTTGGAATTCCTCATCGAAATTCCAAGGAAATTCTCGCCTTTAGCGGAATGCTGCTAGTGCGAGTATATATAGGGCAGTATTTAGGCAGTAGTATTCCTTGCAAATTCCAAGGAAATTCTCGCCTTTAGCGGAATGCTGCTAGTGCGAGTAGGGCAGTATTTAGGCAGTAGTATTCCTTGCAAATCCCAGGAAATTCTCGCCTTTAGCGGAATGCTGCTGGTGCGAGTATAGGGCAGTATTTAGACTTTAGCGGAATGCTGCTAGTGCGAGTAGAGCAGTATTTAGGCAGTAGTATTCCTTGCAAATCCCAGGAAATTCTCGCCTTTAGCGGAATGCTGCCAGTGCGAGTAGGGGAGTATTTAGGGAGTAGTATTCCTTGCAAATCCCAGGAAATTCGCGCCTTTAGCGGAATGCTGCCAGTGCGAGTAGGGCAGTATTTAGGCAGTAGTATTCCTTTGCAAATCCCAGCCGTGATATAAATAATGATGCACAAAATATGAAACCTGGATGGCAAGAAAAATTTTCTTTGAGGAAATAACGTGACTGAACATTGATAATATTAAATTAAAATATTTTTTATAGAATACATTATAATTGTTTCTTAACATTCTTGTAGAATTGAAAACTAAATACTCTTAATCTCAGGTGAGCGAGGAAAATGAACATTCAAATTTTTTTTTTTCGTTTTCGTACATTTTTTTAGCGACAAATAAGTAATAATAAATTATCATTTATAAAAGTATGAAACACAGTATCTCATGCTTAACATTCACTGGTAACCAAATAAATGCGCACCTATCAAAAAAGCTGATTAGTACCTGACGGAAAGTCTTAAAATAATGACGACGATTTAACAATTATTTCTGGTTCTTATCGCAAAAATGTATCCGTCTGCTTAATACATTCACATCTTAGCGACATATATTAATAAATTTGAAGAACAATTAGGAACAGGAGATGCTAACACGGTATTTAATTACCTATCATTCTACCACAGTTTGTCATTATCACTTCGATGGCTGCTGATGTGAGGTATTTACTATTGAATAATGTAAGTCAATCTATAATATAATATTTAATGATTATATATTTCGAACCTACATTTAAATAGCTTCAAAAATATTCCTCAAAATTTCAGTTCCAATACTTTCAATGCTATATTTTTTACTTTCAATACTTACAATGCCAAACAAGAGGCCAACAATGTTACGGTTGGTGAATTGCTGTAGTGAAAACTACCTACCGAAGTTTTTCCGTAGATACATTACCTTAAAACTAGTCTATAATTAGTTTGTTTGAGAATATGGTGACATGATATATTATGGTACTAATAGTTACTATAATATTAGATAGCTGATATCTCACCCACGACAGTGAGCTGCGTGAGCGCCACCTTGGAGTTGGAGAAGTTATAGTCAACGCGGCAGCGATAAGTTCGAGCATCGCCGCTCGTAACGTTTAGGAGCACCAACACAGGAGGATATTCGTGTGCCAAATACACAGCCCTGTGACCGATCTGGCGCGCGTCCGACCAGATCTCTGGGTGGCGACCCGAGCGCTGGTCATAGCTGGATAAATAGAAACATGCCAAGGCAGTTTAGTTTGCAGTTGGATCTAATTGTGCGCATTAATAAAGCGTGTATTGTGTAGTGATGAAACAATTTGGCAGATTATACATTCCTGTGATGAGTTGGTTTTCGGCAACGCGAAGCACAGCCTCTATATAGTTTCATAAAGATGAAGAAAGTCTCACCATTTTTTTATTCAATAGCTAATTTGACCGAATGTAATACTTCGTCATCATAATTGGCGTTTCAAGAATTTCAATATATGATTTTTTTCTGATTAACCACTATTATATTATATTATGACCACTATTATCAATAATGATATAGCATCCTATTACAAATTAGACGAGCAGAAAAAAATTCATTTAATAGACGGGATGACAAAGTTCAAAATTACACATTTTTTTACAAAAATTGTAGTAGATGACATTGAAAACTGTAAATTTATTGTATTGTTGATTACAAATTGATATGAAAGGTACCTGTAGAAGGGTGCTTCATCGGTGCCGAAGTACCAGAGGGTGAGCACAGGCTCGTCGTGAGGTGGAGAGTGAATGGCGCAGGGCAGAGAGGCGTTGAAGCCTTCAACAACCTCCACCTGAGAAATGTCTGACTCTGCAACACATAGAAATAAGAAATTGTAATTGAACTGAAAAAAATGCATTGAGACTTTTAGTTAAGAGTCGAAACTGATTCTGACTCTGCAACACACACAGATATAAAATCGTGATTGAACTGAAAAAAACATACATTGAGACTTTCAGTCAAGAGTCAAAACTAGTCTTATTAATATACAAAAATAAAGTTTATTCAATAGATCCCTAGAGGGAGGCAGTTATAAATCATTACGTGTTCATTAGATAGGTAAAAATCAAAACTTTCACACTCCTTCTGGAGCTTAAAAAAATGTTTGTTTAATTTTACTCTCGGGGAAAAAATAGCTCAATTTCGTAAGATGGTTTTGCCTGGCGGTGATATGAACACAAAGGCCTTAAGTCAGCCAAGGGCGGGTCGCGGTCTGTAGTTCTCGAGGGCTCCATAACCATAGAGTTATAGACGCCATAAAGCTAAGGAGTTTATTGATCATCTTGGAGGCGCTCGTTGCCCGGATGATGTTCATTAGCTCAAATCAACTAATGTATGAATTACTGCATGACTTTACCTAGGTCCAGCACTGCCCATTATAATCAAACGGGCCTTGGAAAAATATACCTTGCAAACGAGCGGTCTTTCAGGCCATCAAATTATGAGCCCAGGCCGTAGCTATTTCGAGATTTTGCACAAATTGAATTATTTTTAGACAACTGTTAATAGTTATTATAAAAACATAACAAAACGAAATTCGTGTGAATCAGAAACTTTTGAATGTTTTTTTATTAATAATACCGAGTAAAAAGCCAATCGAGTGTTGATCGATAATAAGAAAGATATTGTCATGGCCTATTTTTTTTTATTCTGCGAAAATCATTTTGTGTTACGCAGAGCTCTGCGTATTACTTGATAAATCAATTAACTCCAAGTTTGCCCAGCATAAGACAAATGCAATTTTTGTCCCAAGTAAAATTTATATATAAACACAGGTCCTAAATTAGCGTATTCATTATGACCAATTTTAGCACGCAATTTTGTTCGATTACTTACTCGATTTCAGCACAAAAAAATGTTCGATGCTAATCTCAGCTTCATACCTCATACTGGTGTAAATCGTGCTTTAGCTCTTAATTCATAGCAAACATAAATTAGCATCACAATATAATGGTAATAACCTCTAGCCGTCTATCAGTCGAACTATACTGCATCTCGTAATTAAAAGCAATTTAAAATTATAACGATTAATGTTAGTAGATTATTTTGATTAATATATTAAATAATTATTTAAGTGTGGACTACGGCAGGACTCTCTACAAGGTCCTAAGAGCAATTAGAGCAAATACATTAATTAAAAATTCGATGTATAGTTTTTATGTGTTTGTAAATTAGCAATTGAAGATCACACAGATCAAATGACTGAGGATGCAGCATAAAGTTTCGATGACTGCTGCGAATCATTGCTGTAGACACGAAAGAACAAATACGGCAGGGAGTAAAAAAAAATATGTCATTGTATGTTTTATTATGCATAATTCGTCTCTTTATATCGTTTGATTTTATTTACTGTTGTGGTTCAAATGTATCGTTTCATCACGCTGCGAATAAAATCATAAACCTTTTAGTATTGAAAATTATTTTAGATAATTTTAGATAAATTGTGTTACCGTTAATACGTTTTCTCAACTTCTAGTTTTTAATTAAATTTGCTGTCTAGATACAAACCACGTATTTAAAAAAAAAATAAAACCGGAACAACAAATTGAAACCAGCCGGTAATTTTCAAAAATAGATTAAAAACAAAATACATCATGCTCAAACTTTTCTTCATTTCAGAAATCCCTCCCTCAGGTGAAAGACAAAATTAAATCAATTGCAATTATTGGGACAATGCACTTCTCCGCGTGACTGCGCTCAGCTGAATGAGGTAGTAATTGTGCATGAAACACTTCTTGAATATTACCCTACATGTAGTATTGGCCATTCACCCAAATAAAATAGTACCTTATGCAAAAAAGATACTTATCATGCCCACACGCGATCTTCTCAGACCTGCGAGTGCATGCAGTTAATTAAAGTCATTGTGCTTCGGCTTCCGTCGGAAATGCACAAGAAATATCTGAAACCTATGCGACTATAAGCCTGTAATGTTCGTTCATTTATGTATGAAAAATTATTTACGTTTACTAATGTTGGTGTATGACGAACGGATCAAAAATCACAATAATGTTCTTGACATCAATCCTAAGCACAGCTATTAGAGTTGCTCGGCCATCATTATTCTTAGCTTTGATGCTCGTCGATGCTTGCTGATCAATGAAAGAAAGGATGATTGGCTGAAATTTGACTAATGTTCAGATTTTTCAAATACCCAGCGCAACAGTGCGAGAATAGGCTGAAAATTGAAACTCAATGGGAGCGCGCAAGTAAATGAGAAAGAAATCTACCAAAACTGAAAGAAATTTGAGAAAGAGCAGCTGGGAAACGCCTAGGGCCGTTGGTGGTTAAATCTAAAATGTGAATAATACGGCGGAAGCTTCATAATGCTGATTGAGTTCAGATTTACAGATTTAGGTAGTTAATTAACAGACAACAATACTGTCAGCTAAACTAAATTTAGGATTTATACAAATACATTTAAGATTAACATGTGTTCGGAGGCTAAATATTATGTATGGAAACGAATTTAGGAGTTATGATTCTCAAAGCATAAAGATTGTTCTCATTTCTATACACTTTCTGAGGAAAAAAAACTCATTCACAACGTGAACTTGATCCAATAGGGATAACATTCCCACAACGCTATGTCAATGAACTGCGTGCGCGCGATAGCCAACATTAACATCGGTGCAACCTTATCAAACGTTCCTTCTACATGCCAAACCGGCATAAATTTTCAATTCATTTGTTCAAGTAAAAGATGGGTTCAAAAGATCAAAGCAAAGTGAGCTGCCTAAAACCCAGTCATATACCACGAAAACAATTGTCTTGTGCTTTATGTTGGACTCGGAGAGCCGTTACGATCGGAATCAATTCATCAGTTGGCACTTAACTACACTCAAGAGCGGATGTAAACCTCTTTACGGTCGAAACTGATGGGGTTTGGTCAGGCACAGCAGCAAGTGACTGCAACGCATAGTTTACTCACTACTCGGATGTTAAAATTTTAGAAAGATGTTCAGATGTTTTCGAAGTTTTTCAATAACATAGCCTGGAATTAACTAGCACTGATTGGTAGGTTCTCAAACCTGTTAATAGAACACCCGATCAGCTATAATTTGATTAGTGAGCTGATGGGATTGATTCAAGGTACTTCAATCTAAGTTTATATTTTCTTGTCACGAACAGATCAACTTGAGCCAGCAAGGTATGCACGCAAGATACCGATAGAGGTAAAGAATTTTGAAACATAATTTTAGAAAAAATGGCTAATAACGTTAAAAAATTCTGAACAGAAAATTTTGAAGTTCACACCTTTTCTTCCTGCATCGTTCTAGTCACCAACTCGGAAAAAAGATAACAAAAACTAAGAGAGAGGAAAATCAATTTTATCTAAAAAATTTATTTGCGCTAAAACATAAAAAATTATGCTATCATTACGAAATCATGGCCCACTTCAGTCATCCACAGAATATCAACATTAAAATAAACCTGGTATTTTCCACTTAATGATGATGCTTGCTATTAACTTACCACCATTATAAAAATAATCTGCGCACTGCAGCTCAACGTTGAAGTGCTCACCTTATAATATGATGTGGTCTATTTATTAGTACCATCAACTGTAAAAGCCAGGCCACAAGTCGTTCATTTTTGGTGCCTTAATTGATTGTGGAGTAAAATGAATAAGAAATTGAGAGACATTATTTATTCTAATTAATTATATGTAACGGTATAATTATGCGTGACTTATATAGGTACGTACATGTACGCTTAAAGCTTAGTTAGATATTGTGGTGAAGTATAAGCTACCGATTAAATATGAGCTCTGAATTTTACGAAATACGAACTTGTAAAGATACCGTTTCATTAAAATATTTTGGAAATTAAAATAACTATTTACATTTTTTGTATCACTATACATTAAAAATATTTTATACTGCAGCGATATCCAGCAAAAATTCGATTATATTAAACTTCGTGGCGTGGAAAAAAAAGATAATAACAGGAATAAAACTAAAAATAAGTGCTACATTCAAGATCGTTTTCTTATTGATGCGTATTCCTATCGCGAATAGCGCAGCTTCGCAGTTTTATTTCCAAGAGGTCCCTCAGGTGATGCCTTTGGGTTTTTTCGGCTAGTGCTGTATAATAGAACTATCGGCCCCTCCAGTCTAAGTTACCTGCCTCTATTTTTAGTCTGGCAGCCTATAGGCACGAAAAAACAATAAAGTTTGAACTATTGGACTGATTTTTTGCAACGTATTGTCATGACAGTGGAACTCCCTGTATATGCTCGTTATAGTGCCGCTGCTCTGTAATATTTTGACAACGAATTGTCCGCTAAGCACTTCTCGGTGGCAATATTAAAGTGAAAAATCTGCTTTTGATCCAATGTTTTTATCGTTAATGTGCTTTTTTTTAATTGCCATTGATTTATCAGCAAGGTTTTGTCAAGAAACTAATATCGAGTTATAATTAACTTCTCATTTGTCGCAATTTGCAGCAAGGAGTAGCTTCAACACGTTGCTATGGGGAGAATTTAGACATAAATATTTTATGATAAATGTGACATTTCTAATCATTTACGGCTGAGGTCAAAGAATGCCATTGGATATATTTTTGAAGCAGTATAGTATAGTATAGTATAGTATAGTATAGTATAGTATAGTATAGTATAGTATAGTATAGTATAGTATAGTATAGTATAGTATAGTATAGTACAAATGACTACATATCTCTTAATTCTGACAATGCCATTATTTTAGCGTCTTCAAGTCTGTTGCCGATCACGCTGTTTTACCTGATTAAAAAATGTTAATTAATCACAATTAATTTCATAGAAGAGTATAAATTTGCAAAAGGAA